CGTTTCGAAGAAGATTTGCGACCACGGTGCATTTTACCAATTTCTTCACTCTCTTTCTTTACGTCCTGGTCTTTTGTCCGCGTCCATAAATAGCGGTGTCACGCTGCTTTTTAGGTTTCGAGAAGATAGTTTAGGCTAGAGTCTCTGACGGTTTACACCCGTGAATAAAAGTTGCCTTGGCGACGTCGACCGAACTCGGAAAAGTTGAAGAGAGCGTCTCAAGATCGGGGTAGAAGATAGACGGATAATGCTCCGTTTTGAAACGGGATCATCCCTTTCGATCTGCAGGTACCCTGCTGCTATCATTACCGTTACCACTACGTAGTGCCAAAAATTCGCAGAGACCAGGAACAGAAGAGAAGCGCGTCGCACGAGTGCACGGTGGTCTGGGAATTTGTTTTCTGTGACCAAAATGATTTTAGCGTTGTTTCAAGTTTTAAGGTTATAATATAGTGGGTCGTTGAATTCGCGTTTCAACACCGACTGGAATATTATGAAGCAAAAGATATGTATTAACAGTTGAACAATCGTGGCGATCAGCATTTTTTATGAAAACATATATTTTCGCAAGTTTTTATATTCTAATTCGTAGCAAAGGGTTGTTTTGAAATTGGAACGTTCGACGAACGTTCAGTGACTGACAAATACTCTTGGCGTATGTATATTTGTTAAAATTATTTTACACGCGAAGATTGCACGAGGTTGCAACTAAACTTGATGTCATCTTCTTAGCAATCGTTTAAGTTCTTATATTTAAAAAAAGGTCTCATGCTGGCCCCCTTAACAGATTTTCCAAAACTCTCCTCAGAGTTTGAATTGTTATAAATTCAATGTGCTATATTTGTGTATGGATGAAAAAATGATTCAAACTGGATTCAATGTTTCAAGTGCAATATCGACTTGTTACCGATAATATCGATGTGTCACTGATAATTCGATATGTTGTTATTATTAATTTTAAATTATAATTTATAATATAATTGTGTGCACATTCTAATCATTTCGTATCGATAGAATACGATTAATAATTAATATTATTTACTGCAATAATATTAATTCTTTCTGTGATTCTCAGATCTTCCGACGCAATTTACGTTGTGTATCTCTTAATTCACACTGTTTTATGAAAGACCGATATATCGATCATGCCGATAAGATATAATTAAGGCGGATGAAGCAACCGATTGTATAGTTTTATCAAGATATTATCTGTAATCAGTACAAACAAAAATAAAAATATTTACCTAATAATAAATTCATCATACTTTACTTCGATCGCTTAAGCTTCGAAGTTTCCATTCGTCTTTGCGATATCTTATCTATACCATCGACCTTTCATAAAACAGTGTATAATATATAATTAAAAATTAAGAATACGTATACTGCATCTTGATAAAGATATATGACAAGTAGACTGCAGAGTTTGTGCATTTATGGTAAAAGTGGATAAGTGAACTACAGAGCAACGAAGATATCAGAAGCAGAGACCAAAAATTAGAGTCATGTGAAAAAATTGATTCTTATTATATTTTATATTATATTTCTTATATATATATATATATATATATATATATTTATATTTATTATTATATTTCTTATATATATCTTATTGTATTTCTCATGAAGTTTTAAAGGAAATTCAAAAAAATGCAATGATTAGAAAAGATCTACTCTTATGTGTTGTGCTTACCAATAACCGTAATAAATGACGAAAATTGTTTTCTGTTAACTAGAATTGTATATTGGTTACAAATAATAATTATTGACGATCAGAATTTTATTTCAGTTATGTTCGATTCTTGAAGTTTCGGTTAAGGAGTGCTTATAATATAAATTTAACATGCTTCACGGTCATGCGATAATTTTCTGCAGAAAATGTGAGGAATGTATAGAGGAATGTGATGTAAATTGTTTTACTACTTTCAAGGAAAGTTCGGCAACCAGAAAATTCTATGCAAATTTGTTGACCATGATTTTACATACAAAAACATACTCTAGCAGTATATAATAATAATAGACGACAGTCAGAGATAAAAAAAAGCGTTACTTGTCGATGTCCGTCGATTATCGGTCTCTTATCAAAAGAATTTAAGAATCTGGTTACGCTATTTTTAATCTATTGAAACTATGAAGAGAAGAAGCACATTTTTGTTTAACTCCTGTATGTACAATTAACACAGACAATTTTTATTTTGCATAAAAATCCGCAGTCTACTTATCTATACCATCGATATATCCTTAAGTTTAGTCGATAGTCACTTCTTTACTCGGTCGTCGAGCGTGTTCAATGCTTGATTGGTTCCGAGGGACATCCCCCAAGTGCACAGTGGTCTGGAAAGCGGTAATTTATGGCTTAAACTCGATTTTTAGACTTTCACATGTTTGTACAAAATTAAGTTCTCTCAAATAAAGATCTTTTAAAATCTCGAGATTCAAAATATTACATTTTATTTATCTTAATTTAGGAGCAAAACTATAAAATTTGAATTGCAATTAAATAGTTCAATTATTCCTTAGACAATGCTCAAATGCAAGTTCTAGCTATATTTTCATATAACGTAAGCAAATATATTTCAGTTATTTGAGCATGTTTAAATCAATGTGCTCTAAGAATATAAAGTTAAGTACAATATAAACTTGAGGAAGAGTTAGAAAAAATGCTTAAAAAAGCTAGCTATCAGATTTGCTTTTGTGACAGCTCAGACCTTCAAACATTAAATTTCAGAAACAAAATTTTTATTATAAATAATTGTTAGTTCAATCAAAATTATTTTGATATTTTTAATATTAATATATATTTTTGTTTTTATAATACACCGTATATCATAACTGTAAAACCACGAAAAAATCTTCTATTTTTATACATAGGAGTTAATATAATAATGATTGAAGTATGCTGTGTTTGAAATCGTATTGAGAAACAAAGTATCTTTTTATAATAGAAGGACAAATTATGTTTAATCTGATACAAAAACAAAAGCAAAACACTGATTCGTTAAGTTCCCATAATTACAGAACCACACCTTTAAAGGTCGTTTTACGTGAATACATATAAGAAAAAGTGCGACAAAGTCTGATTAGTAGCACGTAAAATCGAATATTTGAACTCATTGAAAATACAGATGAACATTACTAAATTATTGTTATAATTTTTATTTTATTATATTTTGCGTTGAATTTTTGTGTAATAATTCTATTCTATTGGTTCTGTAACTACGGAATAAAAATTTTGTTTTCTTCTGCTCTTCATTTATTTTACCGAATAAAATTTATCCATTTTTAGAAAAATATCGTTTTTCGATGCAATCTCAAATATGGCATACTTCTTTCATTATTATACTAACCACAATGTATAAAACCTGAACATTTTTGGGTGCTTTTGTAGTTATGAGTAGAGTGCGGGAGTCAGACTGCGAGACTAGTGAATATGCAGACTATATGCAAGAATATGCAAACAAAATGCCAGATATATATGTATAAAGTATATGCAGCATAGATTTAGTAAATTGTATGCGCTTGCATAGATACTAAAGAATTCGTAAACTTGTGTTCAATCAATGTATTTAATATTATATACATACAATGTGAAGTTCACAAAAATATATTTAATATTACACAAACTATACTAAAAAAATAATTATGATATACATATTAGACCTCTTACTCAAATATATATTAACCTTTTGAAATTAGAAACAAAATATAATATTACACATACTATGCAAATATTTGTACACGTTTACAACTGTATTCTACTCTATTAACTTTATAAATTTTTTAAGTATTTGATTATTAATATTGTGCTATACATAATATTACTATGTACAGTAAATTCTACCTAACTGACTCTCAGCTTGTACACAAAAATGTACAATTTGGAAAGAGGAGATACGATTATTCGAGCTTTACACCTCGTTTTTATAGTTACCGATTGTCAACAATTATAAAAACGAGCCGCAAGGCTCGAATAATCGTGTCTCTTCTTCCCAAATTGTTCATTTTTGTGTACAAGCTGGGGGTCAATTAGCGAGAATTTACTGTATTTGGCTGTTTAATGACGAGTTTAAGCTAATTCTGACAATGTAATATGCAGAATATGCAACTTCTATGCAAGATATGCAAGAAATATGCAATATGCGAGAAAAAGAAATTACATCCTTTAACGATGAAATATATTTCAGTGTAAATTTTATATGCTTAGTTCATTTTTTTAAAATATGCATTTGCACGTATTTCCGCAGTCTAGTTACGAGACGCAGTGCATTATAGCTGGGGCACGGAGGCGAATTCAATGACCCACTATACTATAACCATTAAGCTGGGCTGGAAGTACCTATTTCGCGTCTAATATTAAATACACGGGTACACGTATATTTTAATACACGTTCGTATAATGCTGAATAGCGAAGCGTGATCAATAATCGACCAGAGTCCGAACGGAAAAAGAAAAACGCATCGGTGCAGTTGCCACGTAACCCGAACGCGTACATACATGAGTGTTGACGGGATCTGTGTACAGAAATTCACGAATAATAAAATCCATAATTGCACGTGTATTAAGAACACGGACGCTTAATCCGCGAATACACGGTTCACGGATTCCGTGTGCAGATGTTCGTTCGGTACACGTTCAAAAATCGTAGACTCTACGTTAAACCTTGAAACAACGCTAAAATAACTGAAGTCACAGAGAACGAATTCCCGGACCACTGTGCAGTGATGGGGACAGAATTTGTCTTATATTGGTTCCAAGGTGCGATCAACCTTCAATGGCGAAGATCAAATTTATCCAGTTACGATAGAGATAATTTTCAGCAGTTACGGTAGAGATTGTTTTTAGCGGTTACTAAGAGAATGCCGTAGAAATGATGATTGTATGCGTACGGCGAGCAAACGGGCACTAAAAAGAGAGCGTAAGAAGAGAGAAAAGGAGAGAATATGATAGCGAGGAGAGCGCATACATAAACGCGCGCGCGTGCGCGCCCGAAAATGTAGCTCACCCTTGCTCCGAGAAAGCGGGCCTCCAATAACTCCTGCTTCCTTGGGTCCAGGGTGGCCTGAAAGTGCTCCATCTTGACGCCAGCGCCTGGAACAACAAGTCACAACCGATTAAACTCTGTCCCACCCAACTGAAACGTCTGGTCACTATCAAAGAAACCGTCCACACAGGTTTCTTCGTCTGATAGGAGTCCCAGTTTCGGCGTGAACGCGGTGTCGTGGAGCATCGAGCAAAGAGACCAGCAACGGTGTCCAGCATCGATCAAAATAATAGCCGGTAGAGAAACATTGTGAAACAACGATTAATTACAGAACGAGTCGGTCGACGTGGGTTAAACTTTGGAACACCTTTTTCACGATATGAAATTTGCTTCAGGTTGTAGAAATGCAATCGAGGAACTGGCGATACCAGAAACTGGAACGATGGCAGCTGTCGCTTCGAATTTACAGAAAGCTATTCTCAAAAATTTATGCATATGTTCGTTTCAAGAAGAAGATCGTAATTGTAGAAATCGGTCGACATTTATGTATTTCTCCATTTTGGGTCCGTAGCGGCTCTAACACACGGCTTATAATCTAAAATAGGTCAGATTTTTTTTCAAAATTTTACGAGACCGCGAGGGAACGGGCGGAATCGGCGGGAAAGTGCGCGGCAACTACTCTCCTGGGCAAGCTACAAGGTTGAGATTGTCAACATTGATTCTGAACATACGAGAACAGTTGTGTGTGTGTAATAGTCATTGAAATACCTCTAAGGGCATTTTTGACCGTCTCTCTCTCTCATTCGGCTAGGCCCTTTTACATGAAACTCTTCATTTCATTTATCGCATTTGTATTTCTACTGTTTCTTTAACGCTAGATTTACGGAGCACAAAAAACAGCTATTTTACATTAGTTTATAAAAGTAACAATAAGACATTTATTCTGATTTTTAACAAGTGTTATGGTAACATTTGCCGTAAGTAATATATAAATTGAATAAATAACTCATAAATGTATCTTTACGATATGTATAATCGTAAATTAAAAAATTAGTGACCCGCCATTTTGACGGGTTCCATAAATCTAGTGTGTTAAGAAAAAGACTAAATTAGTACAGAACATATGGTACAGAAATAATAATACAGAGGTATGTGTAAATTGTAAGTGCTCTATAGCTCAGTGTAACTTTCAAGTCATAGACTGCTTTATCCTTCTTCTTAATCTAATTATGTTATTAGCAACAATATAACCAACATATCTTTCGTTGTTTCTCCTTTGTAATTAATGGAAAATAATTGGCAGAACTTGTACGTATTCCACGTACGATCTAAAGAGAGTGCTCCAAATGTTTATTTTCAGTTGTCGTTAAGATCTCATGAAGTGTGAACGTTCGTCTGTATGCTTATCGACTTTCTGTCTTTCCACATTGCACGATTACATGTAATATCAAATTCATTTGTACACAAGAACTCTGCTGCTTCGTCCCAAAACGTTATCAGTAATTGGAAAGATTATACGCCGCTATTTTTACGTATTCGAGTACATTTTATTTTGTTTTTAATTGCGAATTCGTTGTTGATTTATATCTGGGGAATGATATTCTCTGGTTTCGAGTTTCATAGAAATTTTTGTATACCATATAGAAAATTTGGGGCATAGAGTTTATCATTTTATCTCTACAATTATTCGCAATGGAAGCGAATTATATGCTCTTTTGAAAAAAATATATAGACCACGAAAGATTTAGCAAGATTTTAGGAACAATATGGAAGCCCATGTCTCTTAGATTATCTCGTACGCCGAGATAAACATGATTTGTGTCGATAATTATTTATTGTTCGATTGATAAATGCAAAATGGATTTTATAAACTCGCCAAAGATACACATCTGATTGCATCGAGATACCAGCGGGAAGAGAGTTGAGTTAAATTATGGAAGAATAATGATACCGATCGCGATTCCAAAACGGATTATGTTATATCTACGAGATAAACGTCTATTTAACGTCAGGACATAGAGCAACGAAGGTATACGTGAATGATAGAATCAAGAGTGCACTGAAATGAACAGTTGAACCGTGACTTTTCTAATCTTTCAAAGGTAAGTCAGTACATATTCGTTTAATCTCCGTGCTATTCTTACGCTTTTACAATTTGTATCGTGACTTAAAAATTTATTGAAAAAATGTGAATGGTAAATAAAAGGGTACGTTTTAATAAATAATTCGTCGACATAGATCCTTCTAGTTAAGCAAGAGACAAGAAATATGACAACGTTGTATTAATATCAGAATTCTAATACGCTCTAATTTCGTTGCTGCACTTAGGTGCAGTAAAATGACCCGAGTACATTATACGATATGTAATGCAGATTACATCCAGTTATCTACTAACATAATGAAATTTAAGGAAGACAAATTTTTGACCCAATGGGAGTCGATCTCATCTTAAATTTCATTATTTATTAACTTTACGAACATTCAAATATACATTATAATTACAATTTTAATAATATAATTAATTTATCTGAGAACAACTCTAATTTTTAATACATGCCAAATATCTTCAAAATGAAATTTCAAAATTTATCGGTAAAATTAATTTAATAATTAATCTAACTTCATACAATTTCATCATTTATATTGAATCAACAATTTTATCAATATATTATAACCATAATATATCTTAATAAGACAATTTAATTCAATGAAATAAATATTTTATTTTATACTGTATTTTATATTAATATGTGTAAATACCATAATGAGTAAAGTAACAATAATAATAAAGTAAAACAATAATAAATGGTATGGTTGGTAATATATATAATATAATATAATATCATATGTAATATAATATATTAAAATTCAGAACTACAAATGATTGATATAGTAAATATAGGAACGAGTAAAAATATATACTAATTAAACTCGCATGTATGTATGTATGTATGTATGTATGTATGTATGTATGTATGTATGTATGTATGTATGTATATATGTATGTATGTATGTATTGCCTTCGACTTTTGACCCACTAGAAACGTAATTGGTACCACTGCGGAAATATGAATAAAAAATGAAACACATTAGAGAAAAGCAAAATAGAAAATTAACTTCGATGCCATTAGAAAAACTGCATCATTGACGTTCTTTCTTAACAATTTGTTTCACAGTTCTCCCAACTTCGGCCTCGATTATGACATCATGTGCAGTCTAACAATATCTCGCGATTTACGCATCGGAAATTCTAACGTTTCGCTTTACAAATTGAACAGACATTTCCATCTACTGTGTGTTGTTAATAGATGACAAATCTCTACCGAACCAGCCTAACTACGCCGTCGTTTGTTCATATTGTCGGTTCACTCAGGGCACGGGCACGCAAAACATTTTACGAGGTGATTGCACGCACTCTAGCGAGTGCAGTATTCGTTGAGTGTCACCTCCAGTGTACTCATTCTCGTTTAAATCAATGTATGTAATCATTTTTGTCTTTTAACGTGAGTGCTGCGTCGGTGTAGCACGAGTATACCTATAATGCGAATCAAATGTTAGCCATCGACTGAGAGTTATTGCGGTGACGCGATAACAGTTCGTATCTGCTATGGTTTTGAAAAAAGAAATAGCTTAATGATGTATAAATTAACATGATCTAATAGCATGTTTATTTCCTTTTTACAGTGAGCGATCTCTCTTGATTAGAAAAGAAACTTTCCTCCAATCTTCATTTTTGTAAAATGTATGAAAATGAGAATCTGGATAAAAATCCGCAGTATACATACTTACAACAGTTTATTTTGCTTGTCTTGCACTACCTACAAGATTATTTAGCTGTTACAAAGCAATATCTCTGTTATCATTAACGATACTAAAAAATGCTACGGGAACAGATTGCATGATTCGAAAGGATACATATTGCGGTGGAAATAATTTCTATTTAAAGGTCATATTTTTCGAGATTTCAAGGTCGTCCATGTTTTTTTTTTAAACGAGAGTACATATTTCTATCACTATATCATGATGACTGAGATCGAAACAAATCCAGTAACATGACCTTCACGTTCCGATAAATGCATAAAATCCATTTCCTACAGATCAATGATTTGAATTTTTTGAAATGGTGGTATGCGGCATTTTTCTTTACTATCACATAGGTACACTTACCGAAAAAAAGCTACGAAACTTTACGTATCGTTAATATTTGAACAAAATTCGATATTTTAACAAATATACGTCTAATTGAATTAAAGGTTTGAATTATAGTGAAGCATATAACACATTGTTTATATTGCAATATTGTTTTATTTAGTGCATACGACAAATAAAAAAATAAAATTATAATTAAGAAATTACAGAAAAATAGAATGAATACCTTCGTTGACACTATACAAATTTTCATGCTATGTTAAGAATGTTTACTACGCCTAAGAAAATACATCTTCGTAACATCTTTCTGAACTTTTGACGGTAAGTGTACATATGTTTGGCAAATATGTTTCTTTTGCTCCCATGCAGTGATTATACCGGCAGTGTTCTTGGTTGATATTTATTATAACCCACAGAACAAAAGCATTGCATATGACATATAAAAAGTGCATAAAGAAGTGAAAGTGTGACCTCTTTCAGTGCCGTGGACATCGCACTGAAGAATACACTCGTATTATTTTACACATTACATTTACGTAACTACAAAATACTGCAGATGCAATTTCTGTCCAATAATGATGCACTTTCATAGTTTAACAACGTACGGAAAAGGGATCAGTCACGTCTCTGTTAACGAACGTTACTGTTTTAAATGGTAAGGATTAAAAGGCAAATGAAAGAGGAAAATACTTTACTGCTTCTTACAATTAATCCACCGTCGGTGTAAACAGGCATGACATACTTTTATACTTTTAACACCTGTATGAAACTTAAAACAGCACGGAACATAGCAATTTTATTTGCACAACCGGCTTTAAACAAAATAATAATAACAATAATGCATCCTTGTATTTTCTTATCTAATATTTTATATCAATAATATAACATTATTGACAAATGTATTATTTGAATTAAAAAACTCCTTATTAAAATTATTTTTTTTTAAACATTTTCATAT